TGGCCCATTATAAAATATAAATAAAATAAAATCAGCAACACTGTGATTGCTTTACTAAAACAGAACAGTTATGACATTTTGGACATATAGTTTTCCAAGTTCTTGGATTGTCAGTGTCATAAATAGTTTTTAGACAATCTTTGTAGTATTTCAATAGACTATTTTTAAACTGACATAAAGTTTCTAATAATCGTATGGATGATGGCAGTTCATTCCAAATTCTAGCAGTTCGAATAAAATAACTAGATTGATATGTTACTGTGCGTACTTTTGGGATATCAAACATTAAACCTGATGAAGGATTACTTCTTCTCGTTACACGTAATGGTTGTTTAACTTTTAAGAAGTCATGCAACTTTAAAGAAAGCATGCCAGATGCCAGCTTATACAAATACAACACATCCAAATATTCATGCCAATACGACATCGGTAAAAGATCTAATTTTAAGAGCCGGTCTTTGTATGTAATAGTAGTATCATATGGTAGGCATAGAATATACTTTGTTGCTCTTCTCTGCAAAGATTCCAATTGCTTGATTAGATGTACTGTCTGTGGAGCCCAAACTTGCGATGCATGAACTAAATGATTTCTTACTAACGCCATGTAGAGTACTTTCCTTGTATCAACATCATTGAATCCTGTTGTCCCTCTTCTAATGTACCCCAAAGCATTGTTAGCCCTCTTTGAAATTGACAAAACATGCGCGTCCCATTTCAGATCGCTTTTTATTAACACCCCAAGGTCTTTTTCACAGTTCGTGACTTATTCAACCATGGTTACTTGTATCCAGAATCTGGGTGCAGATAACCAGAGTACGTTTTCATTGTGTTTCTCAGTAAAACTGTCATATGATGATCAGTTATGTTTGTATATGTTATCATTTAAAGTCATATCAAAATTATGCTTTCATTATTGATGACTTATTCAACCATGGTTGCTTGTATCCAGAATCTGGGTACAGATAACCAGGGTAATTTTTCGTTGTGTTTCCTAGTAAAACTGTCATATGATGTTCATTTATGTTTGTATGTTATCATTTAAAGTCATATCAAAATTATGCTTTCATTATTGATGACTTATTCAACCATGGTTTCTTGTATCCAGAATCTGGGTACAGATAACCAGAGTAATTTTTCATTGTGTTTCTCAGTAAAACTGTCATATGATGATCAGTTATGTTTGTATGTTATCATTTAAAGTCATATCAAAATTATGCTTTCATTATTGATGACTTATTCAACCATGGTTGCTTGTATTGAGAATCTGGGTACAAATAACCAGAGTAATTTTTTATTGTGTTTCGTAGTAAAACTGTCATGTGATGATCATTTATGTTTGTATGTTATCATTTAAAGTCATATCAAAATTATGCTTTCATTATTGATGACTTATTCAACCATTGTTTCTTGTATCCAGAATCTGGGTACAGATAACCAGAGTAATTTTTCATTGTGTTTCCTAGTAAAACCGTCATATGATGATAATTTATTATTGTATGTTATCATTTAAAGCCATATCAAAATTATACTTTCATTATTCGTGACTTATTAAACCATGGTTACTTGTATCCAAAATCTGGGTACAGATAACCAGAGTACGTTTTCATTGTGTTTCTCAGTAAAACTGTCATATGATGATCAGTTATGTTTGTATATGTTATCATTTAAAGTCATATCAAAATTATGCTTTCATTATTCATGACTTATTCAACCATGGTTACTTGTATCCAGAATCTGGGTACAGATAACCAGAGAAATTTTTCGTTGTGTTTCCTAGTAAAACTGTCATATGATGTTCATTTATGTTTGTATGTTATCATTTAAAGTCATATCAAAATTATGCTTTCATTATTGATGACTTATTTAACCATGGTTTCTTGTATCCAGTTTCTGGGTACAGATAACCAGAGTAATTTTTTATTGTGTTTCGTAGTAAAACTGCATGTCATATGATGATCATTTATGTTTGTATGTTATCATTTAAAGTCATTTCTACAATGGTAGTTTTTCATTGTGCTTGAGGGTAAAGTAATTAATAGCTTTATTAGCATCACCATAATTAAATATACTGTATTGCTAAAGCATTACAAACCATATGTAGAAAAAACTATAATAAACTACGATTATTACAGATTATTATTTGTGGAATGATTTATAATAGAGTAATGCAATATTAAGAAGAATTAAGAGGAAGGAAAGAAGACAGGTATGCTATTTACAAATAAGGTGGTAGTTACAACCTTTGCTAATCCGCATTCCTGGTTTCAAGGTATTTAAGTCTTTGCTTGAAACATGAATAAACAAATTTTGAAAGTTTGGTTATGATTTCACTATCAGTTGACTACACTAGGTCCGATGATGGAGTTTGAGAATTTACATAAATCTCGTCAGATCGATGAAGCATTCTCTAATGAACTTCGAAAGTTTGCACGAGATTGCTCATAGGCTTTGCAAGAGAGGAGGAGATGTGTTTCATTTTCCGCCTCTCCTGAATTGCAGATTTTACACAAGCGTTCTTCACGGGGTATATTTTTTCGGGGTATATTTTGTGCTTCGTTAAAACTGTCATACGAAGATAAGTTATGATTGTATGTTATCATTTATAAAGTCATATCAAAATTATACTTTCATTATTCATCACTACAGTCAACCATGGTAATTTTTCATTGTGTTTTGTAGTAAAACTGTCATATGAAGAACACTTATGACTGCATGTTATCATTTAAGTCATATCAAAGTTATACTTTCATTATTGGTGACTGTATTCAACCATGGCTTCTTGCGTCCATGTTGCAGAATCTGGATGGAGCTTACCATGAGTGAATTTTTTATGGAAGCTACAGTAAATATGATTTCATCTTTGCAATCAGGTGTGATACAGTGTTTCCAGCAATGATATATTCAATAAATTTGTACTTAGTTTTGAGTATATACGAGTTTCTGCAAACTCTGTTAAAGAAATAAGAATATGGGAAATGTCAACATTGCCACTTAGCAGTAACATAATAAGCCTTTCTTGTTGGTAAATATTTGAAGAAATGAGATGCTGCTTGGAGGGGTGCATAATTTCTTACAGATGTACCGTACGTCACACTGGTGAACTGTTTGGGATATTTTTATTATGCAGTTGCATCATGCAGTTGCATCATGCATAAAAAACAGATGGGTTTATACACAATTTACGGATGAAAATATGAAATTCAACTTTGACGAAACAATCAAATGAAAAGCCAACATTGTGTGCGAGAATTGAACTCACTCCATTAACATAATGGTTACCCAGACACAATTTTTTAGGCTTTCCAAATAGTATTTACGTTTCCTCACTTAGATGAGTAAACGATATTCACATAGCTACTGTAGTTACGTGCATTATTGTTCGTTACGTTATTGTTCGTGTAAAATACACTGAATCGCTGATATAAAATTGAACTTGTTTTTGAATCGCTCTAGCTCTATAAGATATTTAAAATTCTTGGTTGAGTCAGATGACCGTCATCTGGCTCAAGTAAATTTGTTATAGTATAGACAAGTTACTGTATGTTGGGATATTTCGATCATTCTTTGGAGTAGTCAGATAGAGACTGGATGACTATAATTGAAAAATCACATAATATATTATAAACAGTTTTATACCATGCAAGCAATCTTCAAAATCCCCAACAATGCCAAATATAAACCGTTGTATATACGAAACATTGGTTTGGAAGTGCAAAGAATGAGTTAAACTGTAATTTCCCATTGTTTCCCAATATGACACAAAAATAACAACATATTTTCTGTATTTTTCATATTATATTCAAACTAATTATCTATATTCGTGTTCCTCGTGTGCACGTTTAATTGCGCACAGGACTGTGACTTGCACTTAGCGTAGAACAACCATGCTCTAAAATAGTTTAAACCTTCTGTCTTGCGGATTACGTGCACAATGGCCTACAGTAAAAGATAAAACAGTGTAAGGATAAAATTTTTTTGAAGAAAAAAGGTTTTGACTGGATTACAACAGAATCGTCAAAAGATACGTTAAGGTGGCTCCCTGCAGTTCTCTAAAATTCTAGGTATTTTGAGTAACGTTCACTTTGAACCAAATTTATATTAAATACACTTAAGACAGGGCAATATGATTATTTCCAGGAAAGTTCAGAAGCTGTGTGCTGTCCATTTACGAACAAATTAAAACAGTGTTCGTGTTGCCATGGCAACCATGACGTTTAATCTTTTGCACTTTTATTGTCTAATTTCACAATAAATTGACAATATCTATATTTTCCTTCGGTGAATTTTTCTGAATTTTTTTTTTAAGATTTATGGTCCATAAAGGAAAAACATATCAAAATTTGAAGGGAAGTTTACAATTAAGTTTTCGAGATATTCGTGAATGACTGTTACAGAAAAAGTTATTTGTAGAATTTCTTAAAATTTGGATATGTTGTACCACTCATCTTGTATAACAAAAATACAAAGTTTAAAAAAATTTCACCGAAGAAAACACGAGAAAATCATTGCTAAAATCAGCGGGCCAGCATGAAAAAACCCCGACTCGGATGAAGTCTGATCTATATAAATCGTATGTAAACTGTACTAACTGTATGGAGCCACCTTAAACATGGATTATTAGTTCGTAGGCAGCCGTACGTGGCTTAAGTTGAATCTGTATGAAAAGTTATAAAAAACTACGCGCAGTACCTCTGGAAGGAGAATCTCTTTAAGGAACGTGTTCGCATCTGGAACTCGAACTTCATTTACCACAGGAAGATAGTTATCTAATAGCGATTGGACCTGGAGTGACAAAAAAATAATATATTTAGGTGCAGATGAAACAATAAGTTTAGGTTCTTTACATATATAGGCCTACTGTAGATTAAAGGCCAAGGGAGAGGTTTTTACTCAACTGTGAGGACAGAGGGCCGCAGGCCCGAGGTCTTTACAGTTGTATAAAAACCGATACCAGCGGTCTTTAACTTATCAGAGCTTTCTATAATTCCGACAATTACAGTAAGTCGATATGTTAAACAACGTTGACTTACGGATTGTGGGTAACCAGGTCTTAGGTTATTACTCTCGTTTATTAACCCGTTACCAAGTTTTTACTTCGCGTAATGATTCACTGGCAGTACACTTCTATACTATGCATGAGGCCATTACGAGGAAGTTAAAAACCGACGAAAAACAAAAGAAAATGGCCTACCGAGTTTATAAATCTGGTTACGCACATAAGGGCGACGTTTGAAATAGGCTTACAGTAAGTCATTTACCATATTAGGTGTCATAACGGGTCCGTAATCTAGAGATTCGAAATATAATTTCATCTCATTTGTAAATGAATCATCTAGATAGGAAGCTCCAGTTCGTAAATATGGGATGACGTTCCTTTTTAGGTTCTTTGCTATCATCTAAAGAAAACGTTTACGGAATTTTAACATTTATAATTATGGTAGGCTACAAACATTTACAAGTCAAGAAGAAATGACTGGCAATTTATAAAACCTTAAGTTCTCGTTTTGATAAACATCTTTGGAACATATCCATATCATTGTAAATCTCACTGAAAGATGATGAAATATAATTAATTATTAGTAGTTCTGACCTTTAACATGAATTGTAGTTCTGACCATTTACTGTACATATCGATAAACCAAACCTAAAATAACTTACGCATTCCTTGTACTGATCTGTGCAGCATCTCCAGGCAATACATCACAACCACAACTAAATCTTTCCATTCTGTTTATATGATGGAGTGATTGGCCAAGACAGCAAGTGTGATACCACTCTTGACACAAGTCACATTGTGCCAAATCCGATTTCAAGTTGGAAAACTCGTGGTTCATATCACTGTTGAACATGCAGAATTTGTGTGGCGCTGCACCACATTTCCATGGCAACAAAGGAACAATGTGATTGTAATGATTACTTTGCCCATGCTCAACAGTGAGAGGAACCCACAAGATATCCAAAGGCGTTCCCATCTCCTCATGATTTCGCACCTGAAAAGGCTCCACTCGAGTTCTATAATGGTCAGCGCCGGGAAGCAAGCAAAATTGCCTTATTGGTCTTCTCAAATAATCTGAAGCCAAATACACCTGTAATAACCCTATAAATATATAATAACCCATATATATATATATATATATATATATATATATATATATATATATATATATATATATATATATATATATATATATATATATATATATATATATATATATATATATATATATATATATATATATATATATATTCGTTGGCTCATCCCTAGCCAACACTCCCCCGATATAAACATACCACTGTCTCTAAAATTTGTGAACGTTTCCTTGACTTCCGAAACATAACGTTCTTCGACAATCTCCCTAATTGTGGTTTTGGATGTATTCAATGCACAGCAAACAGTCTCTGACCATTGCAACGCCTCATCTACAGTGGTAAACTGTTGAATGACCTACAACAATTCAATTATACCCTGATTTAACTCACAAAGCAGCTGCATGCATGTGCATATTAATTCTGATACTACACATTCATGTAGTTGTCATGTAGTACCTTTTCATACCACCGTTTTATACCGTACCTTATCAATAAAGTGTTTTGTGTTAATGACTGCATTTAGTGCAGAAGCCAAGCGAAGAAAATTCTGTCTGCTTTCGTTCCCAGTCAGATGTATTGATAGGCTACACCAAAAGCAGTTACCAAAAGCACTCGCTTGGAAAGGTTCTAGCTCAATGCCACCATCCTCACTCAACATTTTACTGAATGGTGGAATGAAACTTAGCAAACTAGACAAAAAATAGCAGAACATTACAACAAAGCCCGAATATCATTTATATACAGTAACTAAACTAGTATCACCATCATTCGCTATACTATCACCAAAATCAAGGAGCTCTATATCAGTACTTACGGTATAAAGTACGTTTATTACCTTCTATCGAGCCTTTCCAAATCAATGTAGTCATGGACATATGGTACCAAAGCAGTACGGTTGTTCATTTTATTTATCACTCCAGAAGCACATATCTTGAGAGCTCTCCATGATAACTTTCGGCAAATTGTAAGCACCTTACTGCAGCATGCCTCATCATAAAAATCAATAGTGCTCTAAATGAATAACACACAGTACGTTTTAGGCAATATTCTACACACGTTGAGCAGTTGGGCAACAGTTTGATCACAATAGCCTGGATCCAGACCAGTGCGACTACAGTAATATGATCCAGGCTTATGGTTCGAAAGCATTGGCATCAAAATATATGCGGTGTTTAAACAATTAAAGTATAGCTTTATATATAGCTATATAGCTTTATAGCTTTACATAGCTTTACTCTGGCAATATTCCATTTTCATTGATTGGAAAGTGGTTGCTTTAATTGGGAAGTCGATCGTCAAATAGGACCATGTACAGTATTGTATAGAAATGGGGGGATAGAAATACAATTAAAATGACTTCTTCTGACGTGGTGAATGCGAGAGGGATCATTTTGACAATTAAAAAACAGAAATTGCGGGCAATAATTTATTTGGCAGGCGATATTTTTTTTAGTCAAGCCCTGAATGTACAGTAACCAATTGAGAGTTGCACCTGACATAATTTACATTAAACAGTCAATACATGCATACATTGTCATCATCTTCCTTTATGACACTTTCCATGAATGCAATATCCTCTGCAGATAAATCACATTCAGTAGCTGCAGAAACGAAGTGGTTCTCATCTGAACGACCAGAATGAGGTTGCTGTTCATGCGATGGCCCAGCACCTGGATGCGAAGTTGATTCATGCCAATCTCGGTGTGCAGACAGAACCAAACTAAGCTCTGCAGATTTCATTTTAGGACCAGCTGTAGACTTGTTGTTTGGATTTCTCCAAGCAACCTCTTCTGGCCACCACTGAGGCTTGTAGCTCAAATCAGTCCATTTAACACGAGTTCCTAAAAAGATATAATTATACTGTAGCTGAAATGCTATTTCCTGAATTTCGATTTTACATAGTCCTGCATGAATATTACATACAAAGCGTCTATAAAATCCGCTTAACTAAGCCTGGCCAGCATGAATCACTTCTTTTCAATGACGAGTTGATGGATAATCCAAATGATGAAATACATACTGTACAGTATTTACCATTTTGGACCTTAACAGTTGCAAAATATGAAAACTAACTGTAGGTCCTCCGGCAGGAATCAAACCTGCGGTCCTGTGATTCCGGAGCAGTGATCTACCAACTCTAATTGCAAGTTCAGGTATATACATAATCCGGTGTGCGAGTCAGGATTTTTACTGCACTCCACTTCCATGAAATTAAATTCTGAGTTGATGGATAATCCAAATTTGTGATGAAATATATTCCACTTTACAGGTATACCATTTTTATACTGTACTTAACAAATTTTCAAGTTCACCTGATCCTAACCGCACACCCGATTATCCATAACTTGTGGTTATTGCTCATCATCGGACTCTGTAGATCAGTTAGCAAAGCGCTACTCTGGAATCGCAGGGCCACAGGTTTAATTCCTGCCGGATTACCCACTATTCCCAGTTAAGGTCTAAAATGGAATCTATTTCATCACTTGGTTTATCTACTGTATCAACTCAGAATCAATTCAACCAAGTTAACCAAGTTAATTGCAGTAAAAAATATTCAAGAAAGAATTTTACTCTTCATTGCTTAGATTTTATTTACATATATACATACATATACACATATACATATACATATACATATACATATACATATACATATACATATACACATATACATATACATATACATATACATATACATATCGCATATTCCGCGACCTTCGAATTACTAGATCGACGCTCTACCAACTGAGCTACACGGTCAGACGCATATTCCGCGACCTTCGAATTACTAGATCGACGCTCTACCAACTGAGCTACACGGTCAGACGGATTTAAGACTGGAAACTATGAAATATATACTGAATGTCATAAACATACTCGCTTATATTAATTCAGCATAGAACAATACTACCGGGTGTCCCAAAAAAAAGTACTCCGGTTTGATTCGTAATAACTTCTAAACAAGTAAACCTTTTAAAGAGAAATAACCTGCATCAAATAGAGGAAGGATTAACTTAGATTTTGATATATTACAGTTGTATTTCACTTAAAAATACACGGAGATATTGTTTAAAATCGGGAGCATATTTCTGGATGTGTCCGAAATATGCAAAAAAACGGCGTATCAAATATTTATCAAGATTTGCCCGACTGAAACATGCACGATTACCAGTAAATAAATGACACTTGACAAATTGTTTATTATGAAACAAAGTCTGTATTATTATCTACAAAATACAAGCAATATTTATTCGTCCGAAATCTGTGTGTGTTCCTAGCACGAATACGTTTCCTTATTTCATGAGACCACTGCATCGCGAAGGATCGTCATGGATCGTTCGTAGTTCTGAATTAGGGCATGCTGTCACAATGGAATTGTGAAACTCTTCTAACTTCTGCAATGTTCTGAAATCTTGTTAAGAACACTCAAACTCATTTGCCTTTTCTTAAATCTTTTTAAGTTCACAATAAACTGAGAATGAAACTACACGACGCTCTTCCGATCTATACAACTCCATAAGACATAACAATTAAGCATGCAACTCCCTGGAGACATCCAACATTTTTGGAACAAAACGTAACAAAATAGTAGCGTTGATACTGTGATGTGTATTTGCAAAAAGCAATATTATTTCCTTCATTGCAGAATAATATTCATCCTGCTCTAACCGAGAAATAATCAACTCTGTTTTGAACCCATGAAAAACATAAAAAATTAGGCTAAGAAAAATTTAACGCCTGCCTTGCATGGTCTTTCATGTACCTTATAAATTTGTAAAGTTTGTAAAGACCTATTAAATACTTGCATAATTTCGTACGTTCATATTTCAGGAAACAATGAGCTAAGACTTAGCTTACATGTAAGAAGTCTAAATCTACGCCATATCCCTTACAAACCCTAACGACAATTCGCTGAAATACAAGTTAGCCTGATATGTCATCAAGCAAACAAACGCTGAAGTTAATATTTGATATGCCGATTTTCGCTAATTTTAGACACATCCCAAAATATGCTCCCGATTTTGAACATTAATATCTCCGTGAATTTTTAAGTAAAGTACAACTTTAATATATCAAAATCTAAGTCAGTCCTTCCTCTATTTAATGCAAGTTATTTCTGTTTGATAGCTTTATTTGTTTAGAAGGTATTATAGATCAAACCGGAGTACTTTTTTTTGGGACACCCGGTAGTTCTGCAAGTGTTATGTTGAATTGTGTAATTGTACACTCCGTAATATGTTAAGGTGAAAATGTTCTCGAGTGTGTATTACATGTATATAATTTCCACACCCAGCGTAAGCAGAAAGATAAAGTCTGCCGCGGCTGGGTCTTGCACCCGCGACCTTCGAATTACTAGTCGACGCTCTACCAACTGAGCTACACGGTCAGACGGATTTAAGACTGGAAATTATGAAATTTCCAGTCTTAAATCCGTCTGACCGTGTAGAGTGCTCAATATGACCAAAAGGCCATAGAGCGATATCTAACTACTTTATATATATATTATATATATATATTATATATATATATATATATATATATATATATATATATATATATATATATATATATATATATATATATATATTGTTGAGACAAAAGCAGGCCGAAGATACTCTAGGCAAGTTCCCAATCATTTTGCCAAGCTCCCAATCCTTACCGATAGCCCTATACTGTATATAGCAACGAGTAAACAGTGATTATAAAAAATACTGAACTGAAAACAATCAAGGAAACGCACCAGCAGTTGTTGACTCTTCTACTGCAGTACATACAAGTTTTCTGAGTGTTTCGGTGTTCAGCTGGGTATAATCACTCATGACAGGTATGCTTGTTGAGGAAGATGATTGGGATGTTGAGGACGGATTTTGTCCTATGTAAAAAAATTGTAAAACGTTTCAATGATGTTTAAGGCCAAGCAGTCAGATGGAAACCATTTAAAACACTGAATGAATCATATTGCATATAACCTCCACCAAATGCATTACATGAACAATGGTCACAAATTCAAATGAGATATTAAATTAACTACGTAATTATATAGTACATACTTGAAGAAAAGATCTGCATAACAGATCGAGAAAATTTGTCACCAACAGATGAATCTTCAACAAAACTGTTGAAAACTGGTTCAAGATTAGGTGGACCTGAAAATATGATCATGTTATGATGTGTCCACAGCTTATGGTATATGAACACTCTGCACCAAATCAATTACTGTTCAACTGATTAAAATGTTTGCTTATAGTCCAACTGTCATTTGTAAATTTCAAAGTGAAATTGAATATCGGTATTGAGCAATATCGGCCCTTGAATATCGGTTATCGGAATATCGGTAAATTTCCATATTGGTGCATTACCTATATACTATCAAGGAGCACTAGCATTTAATGAGTTAAAAATTCCAAAAGATTAGCCTAAATTCCAAATAGAACTGATTCAAAGTCTAATAGGAAACAAACAACTTTCAAACAAACAACTCTCAAACAACTTTCTGACAAACAATGTGATCAATTCCAATTGGAAATAATAATTGCCAAATGAATGGTCAATTGTGATAACATTACATGTATAATAAATATATTTCATAATAAATAATTATTCAATTTAATACTTACACAAAGAATGAAGTGTACCATTCTTGCAGTACAAAACTAATGCTGGGACTTTGCTTCGTTCATACCACTCACTGACCTAAAATAGAAAATAAAAATATCGAGCTTTAAAATATTATTATGTGGGTTCATCAGCAATTGTACCTGCAGGCAATACAGATTTCATTGTTTATTGTATACATGCCACACGTTTCAATGATTTGGATGTACGATAGTCAATCTTTCGTCGTCTTTTTGCATCTTTCACAAATTCAACCTATAGATGTATATATACAGTAATGTAAATATTTATATACATTTTAATGCGGCACTAGTCTGTTATATGATTATGATTATGATAACATTTTTATAGCACATACATTTTAATGCTGCACTAGTCTGTTATATGATTATGATTATGATAAAATTTTTATAGCACAAATTTACATGTGGATTACATTCATGTGTTACAATTACTTAATTATATACTGTACTTAGCATACTTACATGTAGATTATTTTATCTTAGTTTTCAACAGTTGTGATAACAGGGATAGATTCACCCAAGGGGGGTGGGGAGATGCACCCAGGTTAGAGGGGTGCAGGGGGTGCTCTTTTCATGATAAAGCAAAAAAGTATTAAACAAAATGAGACATAGTAATATGAGTATAATAGCTTCCATACCTTTCATAGCTTCCGCTATGGATGCACAGTCAATAACAAAAAATATGCTGCATGCTGCTCTTAGGCGTAAAAAAACCCCTGTGGTTCCGGTTCACGACCGACCCTACCGGTATTTTTTTGTTGCAGACCCTATTATTTTTTCAACGCAAAATCTGGAACCACAGGTATTTCTTTACGCCTTATAGTTATTGAGCCTACTTTTGAATATTAAGGGTTTTAGACCCCCTATTGTATGGTGGCAGCCACAGCAACCTAGTAGGCACTAAAGTACAGTAGCTGCAATATTATGACTTTAATTAAACACAATGGAGAAGTTTCACATCAATTTATATTTTGTACAAATTATATTTACTCTCTTTTTCCTAGGCACATTATGTTGCCTTCCACCATCTGCTGCATCCTCTCCCATGCTGATCTTCTTCCATCCTTTCATCTGACTCGGATTCACTTTCCTGAAACACAGACACAACTAATTCAATGCAAACTACAGTAGGGTTTTCCATCCTTTCATCTGACTCGGATTCACTTTCCTGAAACACAGACACAACTAATTCAATGCAAACTACAGTAGGGTATAAACACAAAAAGCCAAAGGGATGTGTTTACTGTGTGTCTCTTGCTTAATGTTTCTAATTGTTCAAAGCTTTTAATTGCAAAAACTCCATGACAAATTTATAATATATGCATGTTTATTCTGTGTTAGTGCTTCTAGAGGTCAATGTTTCATTAATTGAATGTAAACAAACGGTATAACTGTAAATATGGATGAATTCCGGTCAGGTAAAGACATAATAAAAGGAGTTGTTAGTTGTGTGCTACACATCTTGACTTCCCTATCACATTGGGTCATGCACTCTATCTATTATTTGTGCTGCCGGCCTCTCCCCTCCCCCGAATGAGCTCCGTTCAAAACATACTCTGTTGGAATTGATGGTGAATATTTAAACCCAATGAATATGGAATTTTTATCCAACATTCGTTCCATTTACTATTTTCATCCCCGACATCCCGCTCGGCCACCACCCAGTACAGATGAGCGTTTGTCAAAATTTTACCTGTTAGAATCAGATAATCTACAGTTGGATGTCCGGCCGGGAGAGGGGCGTTATTAAAAAGTGACCTACGTTATTGGATGATGCCTTTTAATATACTGTATAACCAAAAAAGTAACCTATAGGAATCAGCCTTTTAAATACCGGTAACCAAAAAAGTTACCCCTTAATATATATAACAGATAGTGTGGGAAATATGGTTTTAAGAAAAAGTGATCTCTGGGAATTGGCAACATACCAAAAACTATAGACCGCAAGCAGTCCCTTAGGAGAAAGGAGAGACTGCTGACAACACATAAAGAATCGAAATACACATTGACCACACAATGCACAATTCCCATTGGTCATTAATTTAAACTAGATGTGCCTGTCAATCAAATCTGATGTAGTTTTTATGCTATAAATAATTTCCACTGAATGCATGTTGCTTTTATAAATAAACATGACAGCTAGGCTTGAATGAATGGTTTCTATTGAACAGACTTAATTGAATATACGGTACTGTAAGTGACGTTTATGCAAAGGCAGAGCCAACTTGCAGGGGATCATTCATTATTTATGACCGGGGGAGGCTGGCAAAAAAAGGGGGTGGGTTATGAGGTATTTTTGACCGAAAAATGGGGTCACCTAAAAATATTGGTTCAGAAGGCACAAGTAACTGTAGATCTGATGCTTGGTCATGTGTCTATGTATACATCGGTGGTGGTGGTGGGGTATACTATTTTTTAGAATTCATGCGAACGAGATCATTGAATTTTTTGCGATTTTGGGCAGGACATTTTGTTTAGTTGTTAATTGAATTTTGTCATAAATAACGAATGGTCCCTTGACAAGAGCGAAAAGTGGGCAATTTTCGTTTCTTGATGCGTTGTAGGCAATCCCTCCTTTCCTCTTGCATGTCCGGGAAGCTATAAAACCTGTGGAAAGGAGCAACCGCTCGTAGTCCACAAAAACTATGGCTATGAAAATAACTTTTCAACCCAAATCAGTTTCTTACTGTCACGTGTTTACCCTCAGTAAATAAAGCCTTTCACTTCACTTCACTTCACTTCACCCAATATAAGCAATATTGATATAACATTTTATATAATGGTCTTAATGGAAACCCTTCGATTCTTCGATACTTAAGAGTAAACACACATTATATTAGGTTCATTAACCATGATGGAATTTAAAATAAGACTTCTTCTAATTATCTACTGTACTAAATATTAATTTATAAAAAATATTTCGACATTTCGTCTGCAGTGTCGAATAAATCATTAACATTTAACACAAACAAAGCAACATACATATTCGCTCCAGCTCAAGATATCTATAATACGACTTTTGTACGCTAATACAAAAACAAATATGCTAATTAATATGTAAATTTATTGGCAAAACTCACCGTTCTTTGGAAAAAATTTCCATCCGCCATTTTGAATTGTAGCAATCAACACGCATGCGTCATTTAGTCAAAGAAACAATGCGCGTGCGTGAGGTTGGTTTAATTTGCGTGGTTATGTACCCAGATTCTGACCAACATAATACCTCGACGAGGGGCGCTGGCCAAATCCAAACCGGATACCATAAAAACATGGTATCCGGTTAAACACTGCGCATGCTCAATAGACTTTCTTAATTCTTATGTGACGTCAAAATTAAAAGTGATCGGACAAATGTCTTGTCAAGTCAAATACTTATTTGCAGCCCTGTAGTGGCCCTCATTAGTGTCCCTCATTAGTGGCCCTCATTAGTGGCCCTCGTTAGTGGCCCTCGTTAGTGGCCCTCATTAGTGGCCCTCATTAGTGGCCCTCATTAGTGGCCCTCATTAGTGGCCCTCATTAGTGGCCCTCATTAGTGGCCCTCATTAGTGGCCCTCATTAGTGGCCCTCATTAGTGGCCCTCATTAGTGGCCCTCATTAGTGGCCCTCATTAGTGGCCCTCATTAGTGGCCCTCATTACTTTCCTGAAGACTGCCCAACTACCCAAGAGACGACTGTGGAAGACACAGGAACTTCCTGGCCCTCATTACTATCCTGAAGACTGCCCAACTACCCAAGAGACGACTGTGGAAGACACAGGAACTTCCAGTATTTTGCTCGCAGCATTTCACTTACAATTTGTAATTCTAGTTTTTAGGAGTAATTTATTTAAGTTAAGATTTATTACATAAAAGCATTGGAATGTCGAGATTGTGACACCCCTTTAGAAATAAAACTCAAAAACAACCAGAAACGCGCCCATTTCAAAACACTGGTCCTGTCGACCAGCGTTAATGACTGTATACTATCGCCCACAAGGCCTTCCTTGCAGCGCCAAAGGCCAAACAGTCACCTGGAAACTATAACGCCCATGTTCTAAAAGCTCACTCACACTCATACTCAATGAGTGGACGTTCAAACTGAGCTTCTCTCGAGTGCCATTGCTGTTTTTGAATAGCTGGAGGGTTAGCGTTAGTTTGTTTAACTACTCATTCTCCAGCTATTCAAAAACAGCATTGACACTCAAGTGAAGCTCAGATTGGACCTTCTCTCATTGAGTGTGACTGTGATTGAGCTTTTACAATACAGGGGTAAGAGTCGTATCGTAGTCTACATTACAGCAAATTAAATTTCTTATTACATTGGCGCTCGTGGTAAACGCGAGAAAGCGATTCGGTGGAGCGTGGAGCAAAGCTTGATTTGTATGATTCATAAATTTATTCACCGTTCTTGATGGGTTGTAGTTCAATAGGTGTGGCTGATAGAGCCCTTTTGCCTTCAGTCTGCCTCTCGTGAACGGATTCATATTCCTAAGAGAAGCAGAGGAAACAAAAAAATATTAAATTTCGAACTAAAAGAATAAAATGAGAATTGAAGGTGAGCATTTTTCAGTTCAATGAAAAATTCAAGTCCATGCACAATTACTCGTCTCAAGTCCAATGTTTTTGTGTTCCTTGCGTTTATTATAAAAAGTTTCGTTTATAAATAATTTGGTAATTCCCATCAAATTCAAAATAGGTACGAGCGTAATTACTGCCTGAACATTTGAAAATTAGGTATGCTATGTTAGGGGAAATTAGGTATGCTATATTTCATGTGCAATCTTATTCTTTACAAAGGAAGCTCGCGCAGTATCTTGACATGTTACTACTAAGCGTGAGGCAAATATATTTCACAATTAACGTAGAACGACATTTGAACGGGAACATATGACCATAGCTGCAGCCAAGATGCCATTATAATAATCAAATATCGGAAAATTTTTGAAAAGCCAAGTGTTGATTGCATGGATATCTTATATATACTAGATAGCGCATCTCTTTTAGTAAAATTGAAGCCAGGAATATTCCAGCGGTTAATGGTTATTCCCATTTGAATAGATGGCGGCCATGTTGGATTTTCCCACTCGCTAATAAACGCTTAAAAACAACAATAACTTTCATCATTTGAACAGGTTTAACCTAATGTTTAAGTTCCCTGTTTAAGAAATAGAAAACATACGAGTCTTCTCATTTCATGGGAATATCATGTCTGCAATCACGGCTTGAATTATTGAATTGTAGAATAATTAGATGCACTGTCTAGTGTATACAGCTATTTCAATTAAGGTTGTCCACGAGCAAAGCGGAAAAGTCGAATACGAGCGCGAAAGGCTGCTGGGATCCGCTTTGAAAATTCATTAATTTGTTTGCGATGCCTAGCAGCCTTTCGCGCTCGTATTCAACTTTTCCGCTTTGCTCGTGGACAATTAATTAACCTTAATTGAAATAGCTGTATAAGATATCTAGGTTCGGTTGTCATAGATCGATATATCAAACACGTTTTAACCAACCAACTGGCACTAATTATTTTTGTGTAAGTGGAACGTCACGGAACACTACAGTTTAGTTTACCAATGATGTAGAAGTAAACTAAGCAGAATATAAATATGTAGAAGAACGACACACAGAATTACTTTTCTCTGTGTGGTGTACATGCAGTTACCAAATAGCTTCGACTTTATATTAATTTAATAGTTAGTATACTTAACTTCTATGCGAATGGTAATAATAAGCAAAAATGAGAAAAAATGTTTACCTGCAGATTAATTTTCTTGCGCTGTCGATTTCGAATTCTTTTTCGTATCAGAAGAAAGACAACCACAGCAAGAACTAGTGCAACAAGGCAGCCTAATATTCCACCAACAACTGCACCTGTCCGACTTGCAGACTTCTCTCTTGCAGATAATTTGTTTTCTGGAGTGTACATATAAAATCAATTTTGTTTTTATTAGTATAGGTCATCATGTGATGGCGAGTACCATTAGGGATTAATAGTAAGAGTATGCTTGGAAATTTTGCCAAAATTGGACAAACTGCCGTATTAACATGACAAAATTGGATACTTCTCAATGTCAACATCATATTCTCTCGCCAAAACCCGGCTGCCAGACTTTCGATATTCTCTCGCCAAAACCCGGCTGCCAGACTTTCGACCAAAATTTGGTGCTTTTGTTCGTATTTTCATTTAGTTCTTTTGTTAAAGCAAAATTTGGTGCTTTTGTTCGTATTTTCATCTAGTTCCCTCTGGGTCAATTTTATTTCAAACACGTGTTTAAAATACCTTTCCGCCATTTCGTTTTGTTAAAGCAAAATTTGGTGCTTTTGTTCGTATTTTCATCTAGTTCCTCTGGGTCAATTTTATTTCAAACACGTGTTTAAAATACCTTTCCGCCATTTCGTTTTTTTTTTGAAAATCATTAATTGTACTGCAGTATAATTAATGATGGTGATAGAACGAATAATTGTGCTATTATACGAGTGTTGCGAAATCAATCGACCGCGTAGCGGGAGGTTGATTTGTTAATCACGAGTATGATTATGCCATTAATAGTACGACTTAATTCGTTCTGTTACTTATTAATTATTTATCTTCTGTAATCAAACTGTTTAAGGGAAAGAAGCACAAAAATACAATTTGTTGAAATTCAATATAATTATTAAATTTTTGTCACGACAATTCTTAGTGAAATACTACAATATTTTGAATTAAATTAGTCATAATCAAATTAACATATTTTAACTTCCGGGTATTATTCCGGTAAAATCACATGACAACATTGTTTGAATTTAATTATTCAACGGTCAACACACAATTGGAACGCCATGTTTGCAAGTTTATAACGTGTTCAAAATAGTGAAGTTCTTTAATCTGAATCTGAGTCAAATATAACTGCTGGTTGTGTCTGGTTCGGTGTCTTCAGCTGGAAGAACAGGTACTGTAGGTCATTTCCGTCAGAAAATATATAATTTAAAATGTCAAAATTTCCTCCATTTTGAGAATTTTACAGCCATAATGAAAATAAAATTCAAAGTTTGTATCCTGAATGCTGAGTAGCTATAGTTGTAAATACTAGACGGACATTTATTGGCTGTAGGCAAGGGTGCAATTACTGCTCAGAAAAAAAGTGTGGTATAATGCTTAAATCGCACTCCTGTAAACCAATAAAATTGCAGTATTTGCCACTGATTACAGAAGATAAATAACTAATGAATAATTGTACTCCTCTCAAGCAATCAGCATCCAGTAATTTTGTCATTTAATAATAAATTATGTTAGGGTCCAGTCATTAATTATAGGGGGAGGGAGGGCTGCAGTGCAAATGAAATATACCATGTTCATTTTTTTCTGACCCTCCCCCAAAGTGATGCGCACTTTTGTCCGACACCCCCCCCCCCCTTTGCCAGCGTTTTTATGGTTCGTACCTATGCAATTCGTCTCGCAATTTTGTTGCAACACAAGTTGCACATCCCTCTTGTAACTAGTTTCGCAGTGTTTATACACTGAGTGGTTTCCAATTGACTTTTGACTGACAATAAGGCGCCAAACTTTAGCACTCACGGTTTTTATACTATTTTTAAATATCATATTGCTTGGTGTAACATCTCTTGCAATGCAATCCTGAAATCGTTTTTCTTAACATTACAAGACAAGTTCCGAGACAAGTTGCTTAGTGTAACAGCATCTTTACTCCGACTTCTATGCTGAACATATACGTAATAAACTATGGAAACTAAGATTTATATAGGAACTTAAAAAGGTGAAATATTTTGTGGGATACGATAAAGGCGAGATATTGAAAATGAGTAGGAAAGGCAACCCTGAATACGTTTCGACCTAACAGTCTTCATCCGCAGCTTTGCTGGGGGTGTAGGCCAAATTTGGCAAAGGAGAAGAAAGGAGAGTCTAGGAGTTTGGATAATAATGTGAGACCAAGAAGAAAACAAATTATTACGAAGTTATTGAAAATAGCCAGTTACACAGCAACAAAAGTGAAAGATGGAACGAAAGATAGTGAAAAATGATATAACTACATTATCCTACCAAAGATCTGAAATGAGAAATGATATAACATTAAGTTATCCTACCAAAGGTCTTGTTAGTGCCGAACATTCCAACACCACATAATTATTTTACTGTTCACCTTCTCAGTTAGTTTTGAGGTAGAGCAAATGACAGATCCTTTTAGAGGTAGCTTACTCAATAGTACAGTGAGTATGAATGATTGTGACGGTAAAGGTGGAGTAGGATTTATACCGTAGTGTGATCATGTGACAGCAGGTGACTGCATTCTAACATGGTGAAGGGAGCTTAAATGACAGGGATAGGAACGTGAATTGATCCGTAAGGGATACAAATTAATTATTACACCATGCAGGGTTTGATTTTATAAAAAAATATGAGTATACAGTAATAACCAAAATATATATATGTTATTTACCGGATTGGAGGTCCGTATAGAGAAATATTTCTCGAGGTCTTAAAAACGCGGCCCGAGGCCGAAGGCCGAGGGACGTTTTTAAGAACGAGAGAAATATTTCTCTATACGGACCGACCATACCGGTAAATAATATTTTTATTATTTTTAATTCCTCCTCTGGATTTCCCCAATCACTCCTCCCGCACGCGAATGAAGCTGCCAAATAAAACGTCGTTTCTATCAATGCTATCGGGAAGAGTAAATCTTTTGTGAGATAGTAAAGTTCGCTTTCACTGTGTTCTTCATCGTCTGCAGACATTTTATTATTTTAAAAAGTAGCCTTAAACTCGTCTTTAAATTTTGAAAAATAAAAACATTGGCTCTACGGCTTTAAATCTCGCGCGGTCCGTACGGGCTCATACGGACCGCTCACGTAGCCAATCAGATTGCAAAAAAGCGTAAAATATGACTTCGGACCGCAAGAAAAAAAATAAGTACATATATGACAAAGCCAAAACAGTAAAATGAATGAATGATACGATATGGCCAATCATTAACTATAGTTAAGGTGTTAATTTTGCCACCTAGAGGATCCACGTTTATCATTATACTTTGTTATTTTGGTTATAAACATGTCAGGTTATAAACATGTCAAAAGATCCCATTTACTTTAATAAAATAATAACTGTCCGCTTTTTTAGGTATTCTTGTTTATTAAAAATGTCATTAATTAAAAAAATTCTCGATGTTTTTCTTGCACGAATTTACATAATTCCCCCCCCCCCTTTTCCCTTGCATGAAAATTAGTGACCCTCCCCCATTATGCACCAGCCCTCCTCCCCTATAATTAATGAATTTAGTTGCAAGATAGGATATATCATGGTGTTATTGTATTTCCAGTTTAATATTTATACGGGCGAACACCGGAACAGGTAACAGAAGAAATTTAATGCAAGATGCATGGTTAGAAATGCAATATATTTCACAGAAAAAAACTTATTCAACAATAAAAGCAAGTTTTAGCACCAAATATAATTTTACTTGTTTCTCTTTTGAACGTGCTAATAAATGCATGGATATACGGTATATGTTAGATATTGCCGGCCTTTTATCGACTAGCTATAATTCATCCCCGAGCCGGCGACGCGAAGCGCCGTGCGAGGGTACTAATTCCCCCTGGCTATTTACACCTGGGGAAACGAAAGCATTAGCCAAGTCTAGAGTTCATCAAATATCGCGGGCGTGACCAACGAACCTTGAGTGGGTGGTCATCCTCACTGATCTCAAAAATATGGCGGACTGTCATGGATAGCGAACACTGATTGATCAAATTTAAAATTTGTTGTTGTATGACAAAATGACGACTTCAACTGACAGATACTTCATGAAAATAATTTGCTTTTTAGTTTTACACTACAGTATTTTGTACGTTTGCAAAAAACTTTGACAGCTTTCAAAGCAATCTGTTCTATAAAAAGTTGAATAAAATAATTACGGTATCAAATACCAATTGAAAAGATATCGAGCCAAATGAAGAGAGGCAAGGAATGACAAGAAAGCGGAATGTCTAGCGAAAAGGAGGGAGCGAAGACGACAACGTTTGCTCGAGGAGACTGCTGAGGAAAGAGAAGCTCGCATGGGAAAGCGTAGAGAAGCATGGAAAAAAAAGACTGCTGAAGCGAAAGGTAAGCAAAGGCTTGTCTTCACAACGCTATGTACCAATGATACTGTAGCTATACAAGTTGAAGTATCATATTCGACCCTCTATATTCGACTATTTCTTCACAATTTTCCAGTAAAGAGTTTGTCATGACACGCTCAAGTCAGTATAACCAGCAGGGTAGCATAATATAGTGGACCGTGGGACCATTGGTCCCAGAAAATTTTTGAGGTTGGCAGAAAAAAAAGGTAAAACTTAAAAGTCTCAAAAGATAAAAAAAGTAAAGAGAAGAAAGAAAGGAAAAACAGAAAGGAAGAAAATGAGAAAAAATGACATAATTGAATAATAAGCTGTAGGTAGTGAACTAGAAGTTTGCAACATGCAAGTAAGGCAAGTTTCCAATATACCGGTACAGGCGGCACTCCAGCAGCCTGATATTATGGTCAAAGACAGGCAGACAGCAGTCTAGCAGATATTAAGACGAATCCTCTATGCGGTTGTTTTATTGATTTCATCTAGTGTATTAGCTACTTCTGAAAATACCACTCCAGTTATATACGAATACAACTCATTTAACAACTACAGTATGTGGATTAAAAAGTATACGAGTGTGGTGATTTCTTACAATGTAGTAAAAAATCTAAGCAATATGTTCCAATACACAACAGCCTTCTGTCCTTCTCATGAACTTTCACCATTAATTAAGATGATATTCAGAACAAATATATTAAAATTATAACAATCTAGAATCTTAATTATAAACTGCAGTCAGTTCCCAGTGGTCACTTTCATTATCCATTAAAATGTAAATGTTTGTTGTTAAATTAAAATATGAAGAATATGTATTCCGTAGCCACATTAAAATACGTTTACACTGGTGGCAGTGGTTTTGGAGCTGAGCAGTGGCGGCGCCAGGGGGGGCAAGGGGGGCAAATGCCCCCCCCCAATTATTTTTTGCCCCCCATTTTGCCACCCCCCCTCAAAAAAAATTATTAGTCACTAAGAGCGACTAAAGGCTACACAAGCGTTCTGTCGTTATCGGAAAATGTATGGCTTATAAGTTGTCATTACTCATTAGTGAATGCGCGTATACATGAAACTGTTTTTTACAGTTTCAATATTAGTTTGTAAATTTCTGAATGGTAAAACTTGCCAATACTCCAATAATACGTTTCAAAAAAAGACAAAAAAGCTTTAGTTTTGCAGAGTTAAATTCTCAAACGTGTAAGGCAATAATAAGATGAAAGTATCACGAAATTATTTGAATAAACCACATCGCATATATGGGGGGCGAATGTCCTAAAGAGGGGCGATATTCCTAGGGTATTCGCCCCACCCCCTTGGGAGGCGATATTCCTAGGATATTCGCCCCCGGGGGCGATATTCCTAGAAATATCGCCACGTTTTGAGGGGGGGGGGATTTCCTGGGGAGGGGGGGGGGGGTTTTAAAAATTCTATCTTGCCCCCCCAAAATTTGAGTTTGCCCCTCAAATGCCCCCCCCCCAAATTTGGAAGCCTGGCACTGCCACTGGAGCTGAGGAGAAACGACTGCGAGCAAACAAACGACTTTCTATCGAGCATGCGCGAAGATCACGTGGTGGGACGTACATAATTAATTTGAATGGCATAGTGCTGTTTTATTTGTTGTCTGTTAGCTTTAATCGAACAACTTTTTATTCTACATGCAGTTCACAATTTATGTATCGGTTTTATAATATTGTTATTGTCAGTACTGAAATATTTTGAAACCAGTGCCTAGGGCTACAAATTGTGCATTTGAATTTCTGTTATATCTTTTTTAATTTTTGTATTTATCCGATCAATATCAATTTCTTAAATTCGGTCTGCAAACTTTATTTGTGTTACTGTAACGTTGGAGATTGTGTTAAGGTTTTCCAAAAAATTCCAATTTCCCAAGTTTCCAAATAATATAATAACGTTTTCAATTACTGTTGATTTTGACAATTATTGCAATTTTTGATTGTCACGACCTCAACCGCTACAAATTTCAACTGATTAAAGATCGTTGCGAGGCAGCAACACTAATTCTGTAAAAGGTTGATTTTTGTTGCAGTGTGTGAATTTATAGTTACTCTGTTGAACTGTAGGCGGTTTTCAAGTCATCTAAATGTATAATTTCAAACATTTAATTCAATATTTTGTAAAGTTATAATATTTTGTAAAAGGTAGTATATTTATAGCGTGTTACTATATTTAGAGTGTGATCGTGTTGTTTTTGTACAACTTGCTCGCATTTTACCAGCAGTGCACAACAACAAAAACTTGTCAAACTTGTTTTACCGGTTTCTCATTTAATGTTTCGTCTGTGAATCAGGACGGCGGCTACATGAAACGATCGTTCGTTTGCTCACAGTGGTTTCTCCTCAGCTGAGCTAGAAACCACTGCTAGCAGGGTAAAATACATCTATTTTCGTTTCAAATCTAATGAAATGGTGCATAGAATACACTGAATTTTGTTTAGTGATCAAATTTAAACATAAAATTCCCAGTGTTCCCAGCGTGCAAAAAATTCCCAGCATGCAGAAAATATTTTCATTGGCTTTGTGGTCCCAGAAAATAAAATATTTTATGCAGCCCTGATTAACCAGACCGTATTTTATTTATATCAGTTATCACAGCCACAGGCAATTTTATGCTGCCAAATACCGTCGGTTGCAACTAAAGGTGAACAGTTGCAGATAAAACATTCTCTATTCTCATTAAAAAGCCTGTATTAAGGGTTTCCAGTAGGTCTCTAGCCCAACACGTTCAGACCACACAAAGTTTTCTTTACTTATTATTGTACACATGGGAAACAACACCTGGCCCAACACGTTCAGACCACACAAAGTTTTCTTTACTTATTATTGTACACATGGGAAACAACAATTAAGTGTTGTTGTTCCCGACAAACATTTGAGATTCTAATCACGCGAATGTTTTTACGAGCGACTGTTCATCGTTAGGTGCAAGCGACGGTACAACAAACTATGAACATTTTTCCGACTGTGACCGAATGTGCAACGATATATTTTTCAAAGTTGTTATCAATTCCTAAAATTTGGTTATAGTAAAACGGCCTGCTCAGCACTCACTACTCACGATGATTTCATTTAGAAATGCAGTTATACCAGGAAAGGAACTGATTCTAAAATATGTAAATTTAAAAGCATTGGCTAACAGAATAAAGCTATGTGAAGACAAGGTACAAACTTTTATAGTTGCTATTTGTTATAAAATCCTATAAATAAACCGATTCAACAATAATTTTGCCTCGAATTTGCATATTCTATGCTGCATGTTTATATTTTATTTTTATAGTATAAAAATAAAATTGTAATACTATGAAATAAAATACATTTCTGTTTATTGACCAGTACTTATTTAATGTCTTCTTCATCCAGTGGTCAGAGTAAATTTCTACTTCTAGCAAGTAAATATTTGACAAGCAGTCTGGAATAAGCACAGGACTTTTAATGCATCAGCCAAATCCAAGTGTGCCCATCCCCCTCGCCCAGCCATTTTCCTGTAAAGCACATCCCGGGGGTTGGGCATTTCCACTCGAACCTTAGCCCCGGCAGGGCATTTGAAATTAATAATTTGGATTCTTGCACTTAATTCACTTGTGGAATTAATATTAGAATGTTAGGCACTTAATTCACTTGTGGAATTAATATTAGAATGTTAGGGTTTGTAATCCAAGTGAGAATATATACATGTATATATTTTGTAATCCAAGTGAGAATATAATTAATAATTTGGATTCTTGCACTTAATTCACTTGTGGAATTAATATTAGAATGTTAGGGTTTGTAATCCAAGTGAGAATATATACATGTATATATTTTGTAATCCAAGTGAGAATATATACATGTATATATTTTGTAATCCAAATGAGAATAGTTTGTAATCCAAGTGAGAATATACAAATGTATACCATTCTCACTTGGATTACAAACTACATGTATATATTTTCTGTATATATTTTGTAATCCAAATGAGAATAGTTTGTAATCCAAGTGAGAATATACAAATGTATATATTCTCACTTGGATTACAAACCCTAACATTCTAATTTTAATTCCACCAAGTGAAGTGCAAGAATCCAAATTATTGAAGTCCACCTTATCATAATTAACCCGCCCACCCGATTACCTAAATATACATGAACTTACGGTTAAAGCTCAACAGCTGGCCTCTGTAGCTCAGTTGGTTAGAGCGCTGCACCGGAATCGCAGGGCCGTAGGTTCAATTCCTACCAGAGGACCTTGTGCTGCATTTTTCGCAGTCGTTCCTGGTTAGGTCTTAAAATGTATATATTCTCACTTGGATTACAAACCCTAACATTCTAACATTTGAAATTAAGGATTTGGAGGTTTTGCGATCACTGATAACTTGATAATAATATAAAACAAAACACTTCTATCTGCAACTTTTACAATCACTGATAACTTGATAATAATTTAAACCAGTCAAGTTGTAGTTTAAAGGACATTGCCACCCAAAATTTTTATTACATATATCTCTTGGGTATACTTGCGGAATATTTAATTTCATATTTTGGCCGGTTTGTCGCATTTAGTTGTTGAGAAAATTTGATAGAAAGTTCAACAGTTGCTGCCATTTTGAAAATAAGCGCGTATGCTAATTTATGCCTCAAAATACATTATCTGACGTCATTGGCTGGGTAAAAACAATTTCTTGACTATAAACAATACCGAGTATTGCCACGCGTAGTGCATTTGAACCGAAACAAAAGGCAGCAAAGTTTTACCAAGTATGTAATTTGTTTGTAACACTATTTCTCATAGTATATATCCTACTCCGTGTTAAATAAACGCAGAAATTCGAGTGCAACAAGACAAATACTAATGCAATATTTTATGATCAATTACCTGTATTGTAAATTGTGCCATTCCCTGCTTTCCCAGTCGCTCGATATGTTTTTATCTGATAGTGTAGACTTATCTTGTTTGATTGCGAAGAGTGTTGGCCAGTATAACGCTCAAAACGACATATTTTTAGCTAACATAACACGCATGCAATAGAATTCTCTCTTGTAGTTTTAGTGCTACCCATCCAATGACGTCACAAAGTTCATTGACCTTCGAGATAATTTGTCAAAAAATATTTCCAAGATGGCGGCGAAACACAAAGTTTGAATGCATTTTACTCGTAGACTAAAATGTTTGAGAACGAAATGATAATATTTTGATAGTTAGGTCGTCAAGTAGGATTGAAATAGCCAATAAAAATTTTCGGTGCCATTGTCCTTTAAATAGAGAATAATGCATGGGTGCACGAAATACCAGATTTATTTCGAGTGTTGAACATGAGTGTGCAGCGAACAAGTGAGCGCAGCGAACGAGTGAGATGTCATGTTCAACACGAAAAATAAATCTGGTATTTCCAACCACCCATGTATTTTTCTGTTTATTATATAAAGGACAGTCTTAAATGAAAAGCGATAATTTTTACAGAAAAGCGATAATTGAAAAGGCGATAATTTTCACATGTGAGATTATCATGAATAATTTCACATGTGAGATTATCATTTTTATCAGTGCTCGAAATCTCTGTAAAACACTATACTTTATATAATAAAAATTCATAAATTTGAACCATGCTAGAGCATGACAACAGCAAAAGCTCTATAGTATGATGCACAATATTTTGGGAGGTGAAATACACGAACAATAAATCAGAGAGTGTTTGCTTGGAACTCACTGGGGGTGGGGGGGCAACACCCCTGATAATTGCTCATGAGGAATTTCAGGTAGATTTCCAGTGCACTTTTAGGTAAATTTAAGTAGATTTGCAGAAGATTTTCAGGGGAATTCAGGTAATTCTCAGGACATGAGAAAGTGAATTTGGAAAACAACTGTATTTTCGGAAAAATTATTATTAATATGTCCTGAAAATTTTTGTACATCTGGAAACATTTTGGTAACCCCCCCCCCCTATCTAACCTCACACACCCCCTCAGACGAAGTGCTTGCAACGGCACTGAGTATACATCTTTTGAAAACAGGCGAGGGGTTATTGCATGCATGTATTTCTAGTTAGAATGGGACTTAAGCAATACACATAATACGCTAAAATACAATCTTTCGGGATAACACATTGATTGCCCAGTATAATATACATTGAAAAAAAGCTTGGATCCAAAGATCCTTGTTGAACGACAATTCGCAAAAGATCATTCTTCTGGCAATGTTTTATACCCTATGGGCATGGATTTCATATGCAAAATTATTCGCCTTGAATTGATGGCACTATTCAAAAATAGAATATGTCTGAACAATTAAAGCTAAATCAACTAACTTAAATACTATTCGTATGAAATTGTGTCCCAATTTTAGTTTAGACTCGTCAAAACGGATATAATTACTAAACTGCTTCAATTGAACGTCGTAAAAAGGAGCTCTATATATTGACTCGATATTCCGTGTAAGAATAGCTTATTAAAAATTAGGCCTACCTTTTTTTGTTTTGCAAATGGAAGCACGTAAGTTTGAACAATCAATATCATTCCACATTTTGCTAGATTCTTCAAGTTCAGCACAATTTTCATTTTTGTCGAAGTTATTGGGTTCGCCTTTTCTCCATTGTCGAAGTTTTGTGAAATTATTGCCATCACTCCAGATCCAGCCTTCCTTTGGATCACTGGTCTTTTTCTCACGGAATAATCCAATCCAGAAACTATAGTTTCTTAGGGCATCTGTATTTGTTTGCTGCTTAATAAATTCAACTTCTGAGGAATCCAGGATTGAAACCATGTCACCTCCACATCCTAAGCAGTTAGCTCTGGATTCTCCCCAGGTCATGAGCTGCGTGACAAAATAATAGCTTGAAATCTTGTATTCCTTCCAGTCGTTTGAGCATCCCTGAGTTGTAATGTCTAAAAAGGAAATACAAGGTAGAAATATGAGACAGTGATATAGATGCATGTACAGTTGAAAAACTTGATTTGCTTGGTAAGAAAAGATGTTTTTGTAATTGGATAAGACATAATACTTGTCCTGTAACCGCATTTTTAATCTGATGTAAACAACGAGATATTTGCATTATTTTCTCTTTGTAATATTTCTAAGTCTATAATGTATTTTTGCGGACAAGGTTAACAATGAAAATACTTCGTATCTAATGGACGCGCTTGGGTATGTGAGAGCACATGTCGTCGCCAAGCGCATGTAAATTCATCAAAAAAGATATATGTAATTCAAGATTTAATTTGTAGGCATCTCATGCACTCGATTGAATAATACATGGCAATCATGGAGTGAAAATTTACAAAAAATGTATTAGACCGAACCACGCAGAAACAGCGGCGCTGCGATCCCAGTGCAGCACACTAACCAACTTAGCTTTACAATGGCCAGTTATCTAGCTCTAATCACAAGTTCGTGTATATGTACCCGGGTTCTGCTATGATAGGTTATGGGTAAATAACAAGATTTTGTTGGCATCTCACTCGATTGCGAGATAGTTGATGGGTGTTAGAGATGAAAATTATCGAGTGGAAATTTATTTACATTTCTTTGTAGGATTGCATGGCGATAGAACATGCATATATACTTTTTGTTACGATTCATATAACCGTTTAATTAACTTTCATCAAATGACGCGACCCGTCAGATCACGACACTTTTGGTAAAAAATGTCGGCATTTGATCAGTCTTCAGGAAACGTTCGAAAACATTCCTTTTTAGTATAACTTTTATACCTTCTATGACCTAAAACCACGTATATATTTTATATGAATTCCTATCGCATATATATACTCGCTAGTCTATAACTCTATATTTCAAAGTCAGTTATTATTCTGATTCCGTTTTCAACTACATGTATTTTTAGCTTTTTATAGTTTACAGCGCTTTGATTGTTTTATACTAGACGCGATGACTTTCGTATTGATATGCATAACACTTGCTCTCCCAAGCTCATGTGGTACAACATCCGTGACTATATCAGTGACTTATTTTCTCTGCATGCAGCTAAACGTACTTTAATATTGAATGTATGACGGAATAATATTTCCTTTACTGTATGTGTTTACTGCAAAATTTTCGCTTTTATATGGCCAAATGCATTGAGCATTTAAAACAAAAATATAGTTTTCTTGGCGCAAGTTTTGTGCATGTCAAATTACTTTCTGACTTCCATCGCACTTTCTCTCAAAATATTGTCAATTACATAGATAGAACGTTTTATTTAAACACGCTAACCATTGTCAACCTAGGCTGATTTCCACAAGGGGCGTGGAAATCAGCCTAGATTGACATTCTGCTTAGTATGAATTATTTAGGGTTGTTGCAATTTATTTCGTATTCTCATTTTCGTTAGGCTACGTTTCACTTCTCTCTGACTTTTTAGTTTAAAAATTGTTTCACTCCTCGGTTTTTGGCGCGAAATCCAGAGCGGGCAGTTGCATTTCACAGCGGGCAGTTGCATTTCACAGCGGGTCGAATGCAGAAAACGGTCCGCTCTGAAAGGCGCCTCAGCCAATCAGATTGATTCATTTTCACAGACAAAAAATAAAACTTTGTACTTTGTTATCCGAGGCTATACATTTTACCTTTTTTCCTTTTGCAAATGGAAAAAAATGAATTATCACAGTTGACGTCATTCCACTTTTTCCAATTGCCACCGCCGGTAAGCTCCGCACAATTTTCGTTCAAGTTGGCGTTATTTGGTTCGTTCTCCTCCCAATGCGTTTCTGTAAAATTATTTCCATCACTCCAAACCCAGCCTTCTTTCGGATCAATGGTAGTTTTCTTACGGATTAATCCAATCCAGAATCTAGAGCCTTTTTCTGTACTTACTTGCTGGTAAATATATTCAACTTCCGAGGAATCAAGGATAGAAACCATGTCTGCTCCATATCTTAAGCAGTTAGATCTGGAATCTTTCCAGTTCATTTGCTGTGTGACAAAAAGATAGCATGAAATGTCATGTTTCTTCCAGTTTTTTGGGCAGCCCTGCGTTTCAACCACTGAAAAAGTAAGAAAATTAGAAATGTGAGGCAGTGATACTGACACATGAACGTATCCATGTACTTCACTTGATTTGCGCGAACACATGTGCAAGGGCAGGCGAAATTACTTGTTGTACCTCGTGACCCAAAAATTCCAGCACACGTTTCGGAGTGAAGTATTTATTATGCAAAATGAAAACGCCGATTTTACAGGAAAAGTAGGAGGAAGCTTTTATCTGCATATGGATAAAACTTTGTTTTAATTTATGTTTATTAAAAGTAAAAGAAATGCGTTGACAAGATGACATCTTGTCGACCCATTTCGCTGTGATGCAAGGAATATTAACGTCAAAAACAGGCGACTGAATTAGCTTTGAAACAGTTAAAAGTCTTTTTCACACAATTTCAAACTTCAAACAAATTTTGTGGTTAGATGTTTTGTTGTCAGAATTTATAAAATCCTCTATATTAGATGGGTGAAACGCTTTTTTGTTTCTGGTGTTATGCATTCAGGTGCCCATATTAGCCTATATGTTTTTGATGTTGTCTCCAGGATTATTCACATGCACCCGACAAGATGAAAAGTTAGCTCAACCGCGGTGGGAATCGCACACTATAGACCTCAAGCCAAGTCGATCCTAGTCGGTAGTACTTCAGAAATCAATTTTTTTTTCGGTGCATAACACCAGAAACAAAAATTCATGATCGTAGAAATGCGCTGGTATCGAAGGTACTAGAATGAATTGAGTATCTCGCCAAGTATCACCAAACCGAATCGGATTAACCGAACTACTGGCAACCGTGACCATATCTCAAAATTTGTCACTTTTTTAACGGATATCGATATCTCATAAGATAGCGCATCTCAGAATACAAAACTGAAGCCAAAAATCTCAGCGGTTTCCCCCATGAAAATATGCGGCGGCCATATTGGTCGTTCCCACTCATCAATGAAATGCTATAGAAAATACTATACTATTCTGCATTTGTGGATTAATTTAAAAATACCTTTTTGAGATATGTTCGCCTTTGAAATTGCTGCTTTTTTGGAAAAGGTTGCAAGAAAAACATTAATTGGCGATGTTGTTGTCTTTGAATCACATTTTAAAGCTAAAAATTTCGAATTTCTGCATTCTTTGTATAGTCAAGTGTAAAGAGCATATTCAAACTGTGAATGATTCTCTGGTGAAATATCGTATAATATATATGTTTTTACAGTTTCTGGCACCACTTTATGGAAATGGTAAGTAGCGTTTAGACTATCAACAAAGGCAGTTTATACTGTAAAAGGTTTAAGATCGAGTTTTCACTTTGAACTTTCAGTTTGGGCAATTTTCACTGTAAATCTTTAGTAAAATGTTTAAGACAAAGTCTCCACTTGGGCATTGTTCACTGTAAATCTTTAATAAAATGTTGGAGACATAGTCTGCGCTATCAGCTTAGGCATTGTTGACTGTAAATCTTTATAGTAAAATGTTTAAGACAGATTCTGCACTTTCAGCTTGGCAGTCTGCACTATCAGCTTGGGCATTGTTGACTGTATAAAATCTTTAATAAAATGTTTAAGACAGAGTCTGCACTTGGGCATTGTTCACTGTAAATCTTTAGTAAAATGTTTGAGACAGAGTCTGCACTTATCAGCTTGGGCAGTTTCATAGTAAATATTTAGCAAAATGTTTGAGTGGCATTGTTCACTGTAAATCTTTAGTAAAATGTTTGAGACAGAGTCTGCACTTTCAGCTTGGGCAGTTTCATAGTAAATATTTAGCAAAATGTTTGAGTCAGAGTCTGCCCTTTCATCTTGGGAGGTTTTCACTCCACATTTTTAGTAATAATTAACTTCCTCTGATACATTCCTTGTATAAATCACTGGCGGTTAAAAAGTACAAGTTTGTTTAATTTCTTTCTAATTTTTTACCCCCATGAATTCTCAGTGGTATTCTTTCCAAGATTATAAAATTTAACTTGGCAGTAACTCTTGATGATACTCTTGATCAACTGATCAACATGATTTTCACCAACTGGTGAGTCAAAAAGATGGTGATCTAGCTCAGTAAAAAGACAGGTTATGGACAATGAAGAAGTTGGAACTTTATCCTTAGGAAATCTATAAAGGAAGTTCATCATGTAATGCAAGTCTAGTTTCAATCTATAGAATAGTATGCTTGTAAAAATAAATTGCTTACTGATGAAAAACTTAATTACAATTGGTGCCAAAACGGTAAAAACTCTTTGACACAAGTCTCCAAAAATGTTTTTTAAATTGGACATTTTTAAAAATTATATTTCGCCCCTTGTGAGGTAATGCGGAATCCAACTTTTTTTTGGTTTGGTAATGCGGAATCCAACTTTTTTTTGGTTTAGGAATCCGGAATCCGGAGTCTTGGAATCCGGAATCCAGACATTTGGAATCCGGAATCCAAATAACTGAGGAATCCGGAATCCAGGGATCCGTTCTAGAATCCATTGTTTTATTAATTTAGAAGAAAAAAACATATTTTTTGTAAACCATTGGAATCCGGAATCCAAATAACTGAGGAATCCGGAATCCAGGGTCCGTTCTAGAATCCATTGTTTTATTAATTTAGAAGAAAAAAACATATTTTTTGTAAACATATTTGTTCGTATTTCACTGGATCCAATTCATTTTACCCTGAGAAAATTATGAAGAGCGACCCGCCCAACATGGCCTCCCATGCAACAAAGCAAAGTGTTGCGATTAAGGGAAGTGGGAAGAAAGACGCGAGGAAGATAATGCGAGAATGTGTAAGCGAATACGGCAGGGGTGTGAGACAAGAAAACGTTCTTTCAAAGAAGAAAAAGATTACAGGAACCCTTCCATATTCCTTGAGCATGAGACCAGCCGCCGTTACCGCCTCGGAAGAAGTGGAGGACATCGTGTAAGAATGCCAGACTGTAAATGCGCCCAACGGTAATCGAGGCAATTCATGCAGCACGGCTTAGGGTTCTGTACCGCAGGGATGACGTCGTCGCCATCAGCCACAATTTAAGGAGGGAACGTCCCCGTATTGGTTAGCTATTCTTCTGGAGGACGTTTGCGTCGAAGCTGACAGTGGAAGGTTCTTGAGAAACAGTATGAGTATTCGATGGCTTAAAACAGAGGATCGACACTGTTATGTCAAAGGTATCTGTGACAAGAACTCCCCGAAGTGTATCATGGCCGACTCCCGCAGGATTTTGTTTCAACGCGAACAGTTTCTAGTCCCTCTGGAGGAGAACATTCAACTATCACGCATTTCTAACGGATATATATATGAGGAAACTGGAGACGAGAGATGGAAGAAGAGATGGAAGAAGAGATGGAAGAAGAGATGGAAGAAGAGATGGAAGAAGAGATGGAAGAAGAGATGGAAGAAGAGATGGAAGAAGAGATGGAAGAAGAGAGGGAAGAAGAGATGGAAGAAGAGAGGGAAGAAGAGATGGAAGAAGAGATGGAAGAAGAGATGGAAGAAGAGATGGAAGAAGAGATGGAAGAAGAGATGGAAGAAGAGATGGAAGAAGAGATGGAAGAAGAGATGGAAGTAGAGATGGAAGAAGAAATGGAAGAAGAGATGGAAGAAGTGTTAAACTTGCCGCAATGGAAGAAGAGGTGGAAGAAGAGATGGAAGAAGAGATGGAAGTAGAGATGGAAGAAGAAATGGAAGAAGAGATGGAAGAAGTGTTAAACTTGCCGCACTTCCCCCACGATTTCCGGGCGTCAGTCTGCCTGGAAGAACAACCCGTTTCCTTCTCAGCTACAATGACACACGTTTCTACAATTATTATTCATTTGAGGGATAAAAACATTTCCATGTTTGTGTAATCCAGTGTTTGAATTGATTGATTGATGATAGTTTTATTGATTATAGTTTTATTATATTAGTCTACATATAGATTAAATAGTATATTTATCTCATATTTATTGTTAGGCTAAGCTACTCGCCATATGTCTCTTCGTTGATAGATAGTGAAACAAACCTCTACTCAGCTCGATTTTTCGTAATTTTATTGCAGAAAAAATTTATTCATTGTAATTTTGTTATGTACTGATTTTACAATAAGTGGAATAAGAACCTAACTAGAGATTTCTAGAAGTCAAGAGCAAGTAAACCAAGACACGCGTGGAATGTTGGGGTAACCAAAACTAATTTCCCAGAAGTTAAAATTCGTTGTTCTTTCTCACCGTTGAAACCGCAATTAACTTTTTAGAAAGGTTTCTGAAGAGGGCCTTGCCGCGAAACATAAACAATGTTGGTTGCACTACAGTATATCAATATATAATTTTGATGTACTTATTATTTGAAGCTATATCTTTGATTATCAGACTTGTTTGATAATATATGCAGTAACAAGTGCACTGGGACCTGAAAGTGTATTTATTGGCTTTGCAATACACAAAATAATAAATTGCAATCCGGAATCCACTACAGTTCCGGAATCCGGAATCCCAGACGTGGAAACCGGAATCCAAGAAGTAGGATCCGGAATCCAAGCAGTGGGATCCGGAATCCAAATACCACCTGGATTACCTCACTGGGGGCGATATATTTACAGTAACCACTAAATTCAAAAGACTAAAATTGAGAGTTTATCACGTTTTCAATTCCTGAAAGTACTTGCAGATTTCGTTTATTTTTTAAGAAAAGTTTAATATTGTGCATTTGATATATGTGTCAAAGAATTAGAAAGCACTATTACACAAAATCAAAAGTAGTATTTTATTATAACAATATAATAATTATTCATACAATAATGAATGTAACTATATTTAAGATTACAAAACCTACTCTGCATCAATCAGTTTATTTCATTGATCTTATACAAAAATGCAAGAAATAATGTGTGTCATTACAAAATAGGATTTCCCATAATACAGTTCTAAAATACAAATTCAGTACTGTATTAAAACAATGACCTATTAATAATTACAGTAATTTAGCAATTCGATTGCTTTAATTACAAGCAATAGATCTTGTACTCACAGGACTCAATAGAAAGAAATATTTCTTAACATCAATTAAAGATAGTTTGAAGCATTCATACCAGTGCAGAATTATCAACTATATTTACATAATACAATAGAAATTACCTTATATTGCCTGCGAATATAAAGTTGCAATTGTTCTCTAGCTTCTAATAGATTTTAATCTTGATGTGATTCCATGGAACTATAAAATAATACATATATGTTGTAGGTAAATAAATATACCGGGTGGCCCAAAAAAAAGTACTCCTGTTTGATTCGTAATAACTTCTAAACAAGTAAAGTTTTTAAAGAGAAATAACTTGCATTAAATAGAGGAAGGACTAACTTAGATTTTGATATATTACAGTTGTATTTAACTTAAAAATTCACGGATATATTAATGTTAAAAATGGGGAGCATATTTTGGAATGTGTCTAAAATTAGCGAAAATCGGCATATCAAATATTAACTCCAGCGTTTGTTTGCTTAATGACATATTAGGCTAACTTGTATTTCAGCGAATTATCGTTAAGGTTTGTAAGGGATATGGCGTAGATTTAGACATCTTACATGTAAGTCTTAGCTCATTGTTTCCTGAAATATGAACGTTCGAAATTATGCAAGTATTTAATATTAGGTCTTTGCAAACTTAAATGTACATGAAAGACTGACCATGGAAGGCAGGCGCTTAAATTTTTCGTATTCTTAAATAGCCTAATTTTTTTATGTTTTTAATAGGTTCAAACAGACTGAGTAGATTATTTCTCGGTTAGAGCAGGATGAATATTCTTTATTGAAGGAAATAATATTGCTTTTTGCAAATACACATCACCGTATCAACGCTACTATTTTGTTACGTTTTGTTCCAAAAATGTTGCATGTCTCTGGGGAGTTGCTTAATTGTTATGTCTTATGGAGTTGTATGGTTTGATTGTGTTTCATATAATTCTCAGTTTACTCCATGAACTTGCCAAGATTAAGAAACGGCAAAAGAGTTTGGGTGTTCTTAACAAGATTTCAGAACGTTGCAGAAGTTAGAAGAGCTTCACAATTCCGTTGTGACAGCATGCCCTAATTCAGAACTACGAACGATCCAATGACGATCCTTCGCGATGCAGTGGTCTCATGAAATAAGGAAACGTATTCGTGCTAGGAACACACGCGAATTTCGGACGAATGAATCTTGCTTGTATTTTGTAGATATAATAATACTTTGTTTCATAATAAACAATTTGTCAAGTGTCATTTATTTACTGGTAATAGTGCATGTTTCAGTCGGGCAAATCTTGATTAATATTTGATACGCCGATTTTTGCATATTTCAGACACATCCAGAAATATCCTCCCGAATTTAAAGATTAATATCTCCGTGAATTTTTAAGTGAAATACAACTGTAATATATCAAAGTCTAAGTTCGTCCTTCCTCTATTTGATGCAAGTAATTTCTCTTTAAAAGCTATACTTGTTTAGATGTTATTACGAATCAAACAGGAGTACTTTTTTTTGGGCCACCCGGTACACATACTATAAGAAGTGAGAACCATTTTTGTTTTGGTTCATTCCATGTTTTATATTGAGTACTTTTGCCATAATTGATAAACTGTGACTAAAATGTTTTTCAATGTTGCTGTCTTTTACAAATACATTTACAATTTTGCCATGAAGCAATGGCGATACTAGCTCAAAATGTCTTATTTGGAATTGGTGGAACTATATTTATATATGAATATGCATCAAAATCTTAATTCCACACACAACATGATATATTTAACATAAAAATATTGAAAAATCGCAATGGTTTGTCCTTAGTTGTTATATGGCCGCCCTTCATACGGGTCGACAAATATTGATATTTTCAGAAAAAATAATTAAACTTTGCCTACCCGTTATTCACAATATGAAGCTCCAACGATCTGGCATCATTGACAACAAGTTCCACACATAAAAACCCAAAATTGACTGCATAAAAGAGGTTTTATTGGTCACTTTGTCCATTTCCGCAATACAAAATATACAAATTATCACGCTTCGTGGGAACGATCAATATGGCCCCCTCGCGTAAAATGCGACTGCGATCAGGCTTCAAATTTCGCTCGCCCGCAGAGTGAGATGCGCTAACTAGTGTATATGAGATATCCATGGTAATTTCTATTTAATATTTAAATTTGAAAGAAATGGCCAGTGTAATTAATAAAAAACTACACTCGTGATTTTGAAAAATCGAAGAATGTCATAATAATGTAGGCCTACTTTCTGCAATGAAAGATACGTCGCCATTTTTATTTTCCCGCTATGATGTCTTTTTTGGCTGATATAGCTGGATAAATGATGAGGTCATGTTCCCAAATTTGTTATGCGAAGAAACAAAAATATATGCAAAAAAAATCAGTTTTTCTACCTATATCCTATATACAGCTTTTAATTCAAAACGCTGATATATACAGCTTTTACTTGTTGGGGGTATCTGTGTACAGGCGAGTATAGGTTTCGACACGCATTTTTTATAGTTGGCGGATCGTCGTTGATCGTCGTGGATAAGTTTTACTCAAATTATCCATAAATAACCCTAGGTTTTGAGAAAGATAAAGAATTTCACTAAATAGGCCAAGGCTGCTGTTTATTTTAACCAGTATGAATATGTTTACGTTTTTTTTTTTAATTGCTTTTTAACGGCATTGAGGATTCAACGACAAGAATAATGCATTTGGAGATGTTTTAATGCCAAATAAATCTTGGTAAGCGCTCAAAATGTTATTTTATAGTCCGGCAAAAACAGAAATACAAAGACAGCGATGCACAGGAACAATTGTATGGAATGTTTATATAGAACATTTTCCTTGTTGATAGACAGTTATATCAACACGAGTGGAAATTGGGAAAACTCGAAATTGTGTGGAAACACTCCGCCCTTTCGACGTTGTGTTTCCACACAATTTCGAGTTTTCATATTTTCCACGAGTGTTGATATAACTGTATATCAATACGGAAAAAGTTTTATATTTGTTTTATAATATAGCACCAAGAAACATAAAAAAAGAATTTTCCGACGTTTCCGTATTGACATTAGAGAGCTTAAGCATGTAGGACGGCAACACGACGATGACAGCCAAAGTAAATTCCTTCAAATAAATTATAGTAAAGAAAACTTGTCGTATATTATAATTCGTATGAATTTAATACAGTATAAGAAGTTGAAAACATTGGCTTTATGTTTGGGAAGAGTTCTATTGAACCGAATTCGAGTTGCACTTGTTACGGCTTGAAATGCAGGCGTTGTATAAAAGACGTGAAAATCTGTGATTTGCCGTTGTAAACAAAGCGACGACTACGTCTGAAACTCCCCTGGGAGTTTAATTATTTATTTCTTTTCATTGACTCATTGTATTGGTTGCCGTCGTCGTCGTATTGCGTCCTACATGCTTAAACTCCTTATTGAGTTGCATCAACACGGCTCTTAGCCAACCAGCGTTCAGGGTTTAGAAATGCTATATTATAAATACTCGATGTAAATACGCCACATTCCTCTAATCCGGCCGGCAGTTGTTCCGTACGCTAGGGTTAAAACTTTAAATCCTTCAAAATAATCTATTGCCGGTCAAATCAAAATGAAGAGAAAAGTAAGACGATTCCATTGGTATATGGCACAAAAAAGAAAAACAACGATACGAAAGTTATAGACTGCGAGCAGTCCCTCCTTTCCGCGGGTTTAGATTTTCGGGCATGCGAAAGGAAAGGAGGGACTGCAGACAACACATCATGAAATGAAATCCGCGTTGCCCACACAACGCAAAATTCCCATTGGTCAAAATCAATACACCTGTCAATCAAATCTGATATGTTGTAATTATGAAAAAAATGTCGAGTAATTAAGATACAATAGCGCGCTGAAGTTCGATTTCCTTTTTTTACACACCCTGTAAATAAACATGACATTAACGGTTCCTATTGGATAGATTTAATTGGATATAGTAATGGTTATGCAAAGGCGGAGCCACTTTGACAAGAGCGAAAAGTGGGCGTATTTCGTTTCCTGATGTGTTGTCGGCGGTCCCTCCTTTCTCCGAGGGACTACTAGCGGTCTACGAAAGTTATCAAGGTCAAACGTACTGCATTTTTAATCAGTCACTTAACAAATAATTTTGAGCGATTTGTCAACGATACAATTTCGCTTGTTCTTCAAAGACCATAAATTGCTAGAATGGAGCTGTTTCGCAATGAATTTGGCATCCACAAATACAATTGCGTACGCCAATTCGAACGATAGTATTTTTGTCCTTGCTGAGAGTCCGAGTCATTAATTAATTTTGCCCCTGAAAAAAAGGAAATTCAGAGGACGTATACAAGGAATTTTTCTAGGCAGTTAATTTAAGGGAGCATTTGGTTCGAACGAACTCCTCCCCCCTCAAAAAAAAACAAAACACCATAAACCCGTCTGCGACGCAGGCTACGGCGGAATATAAAGCGGTGGCAAACTTGGCACAAACACCGCAATTTTACAACAAGGGCTATACGATTGTAGTTCCACGTAACATGCGTATCAGTATTGCCCCAGCGAGTTTACACTGTTTTGAGCGTTTTGTTCAATTAGGGTTGTCCACAAGCAATGCGGAAAAGTCGAATACGAGAGGGAAAGGCTTGCCGGGAATCGCTAACAAATTCATTAGTTGGTTAGCGATTCCCAGTTTTTAGCGCTCGTATTCGACTTTTCCGCTTTACTCAGGGACAATTAACCTGAATAGAAATAGCTATATATTAGTAACTGCATGTAGGGAGCTCCTTAGTAGGCGTACCTGTAGTGGTAGAAAATGTTTCAACAGGAGGAATAGTTTTCTTGGCAACACCTAAATCAGAATATCGAATAGTTAGTTTGATATTTGACAAAAGTAAGTTGTTAATTTGCTATTTGTAATAAACATTAGTAAAGTCGGCCGGATATTTATTGACAGGAAATAGAATTTCAATTTTTCAAAACATTGCACGTTTTTATCCTAGGAGCCTGGAAGCACTGGAAATGGATTGTGCTGGTCAAGTGTTTCCCGGAGAGTGCTTGGCAGTCAATTAAGTACACGCGTAGCGCGCGCGTCGCGTGCAAGTAAAATTGCAATATTTTGAAAAGATCAAAATAAACATTTCTAGCTACTCGCTGTATTAAGACAAAACTTTCTACATAAAAGCACTTGAATACAAAAATATTTTAGTCGATCACTTGAGTGAATCGGCGTTGAAAAGATGCTTCTAGATAAGCTTGGCTTTTGGAGCAAACATCGTAATAAAGTTTATAAAAAAAATATAAAATGGACAGACACAATGATGAACAGTGTAAAAAATCTCAAAAAGCATAGCCCTTTTACGAAAAGCTAAAGACTTTGCTTCGCAAGAAGAATTAGTCACAATTTATAACTCATTAGTCTTACCACATTTTAACTATAATTGCTCTACATTTGGAATGATAATAACAAATATCATATTGATAAAATATTATGGAAATTACAAAAGGGAGCTGCACGGGTTATAACTATAGTACTGACCACACTATTAGATCAGCCCAAGTTTTTGAAACCCTTCAATGGCATCCAATAAAAATCTCATGGACAAACGAGATCTAACAATGATGTTCAAAGTTCTAAAAAACATAGCGCCTATAGTAATTACTTAGCAACATTGTTTCGTAAATGTGACAATTCTAATTATTCATTACTGAGCAACAATTTAAAATTGAGCCTTCCTAAGCCAAAAACAGATTTTTTAAAAAGAAGCTTCTCCTACCGTGGGGCTGTCGCGTGGAATGGTCTGCCCTCTGAACTTTTGCGAGTGGTAGACGAACCTCGATCTATTTCTTCTTTCCGTAACTTGATTAATAATTACTATAAAACTTTGTAATGCTTGCATATGTTGTAGCCTAATATTTTAATTACTTATAAATGTTGTAGTTCCTTGTAAACACACGGCCCTTTAAAAATCATACAAGGTGTTTGTATATCTTTAATTAATAATAAAAATAAATGATAATAATTAAAATTGAGAATGTTTGGCGTTGTGTAAATGTTTTAACTGTTGAAAAGGTTATTTTGTGTGAGGATGTCAATGGTGTTTTGTTTTAAAGGGGGTAAATACTGGCGGAGATATTTACATTATAAGCAATCGAATCGTAAAATTTCACTGTTGTCGCTTGTCGACTTGTTAAAGAACTTTTTGTTAAAAACGCTGGTAGATATTAGAAACTGTATAGGGAGCCTTCTTGAGATAGCTGTACCTGAAGTGGGAGAAAATGTTTTAACAGGAAGAATAGTTTTCTTGGCAGCACCTACACCGGCCAGGCATTTAATGAATAACAAATAGCGTTTTTAAATTTACCAACCATGCAGATTAACTCGTTACAGCCGCGCGTATCTTCATATGGTTGTAAATTTAAAATTGCAAATATAATCTGTTTATTAATTTTAGCCGCGTAAATTTAGTGGGAGGATTACAGTGTTGTTGGCAACACCTATATCCACATATTGCAACGTCCAGTGGATATACAACGAGAACACGTTGTTAGCGTAAACACATAATAAATAAATTTAAACGGTATTCCTGGTATTTTAACATTAACTAAAAGCACCTAGCAGTAGCTTTCATGCCAACAACGGAAGAGGCCATCGACCTTGGTCAGAGGGCGGGATTCCTTACATATTGTATATGCTAGACTTTTGACAAGTGTTCCGATATCCAAATAGCGAATTTACATTTCTTGACAAAATTAGCTTGTCATTTGTCCCGTATCTTCATTTCTTGGTAGTTTAAAACTTCCATACTGATCTGGTAGTTCCACATGAGTTCCAATTTGAACTTACTATATGAGTAAATTTTTAAACACGTCCGAATTTATCATTATGATAAATTCGCGGCACATTTTGAATTTATCAATAGAGTTAATTTAATAATCATAAAACCACAAGCATTGACATTGTCAAGACTTCTTGTTATAAATGTAATGGCATTAAAAGGGAGCTGGTGAGATTTCCAAGATTTTCAAAAAAATAGTTTCCAAAAAAGTTTTAATTAAAAGAGTTTTAAAAAGCAAAAAAGGTTTTAAAAAGTTAGATTTTCAAAAAAGTTTAAAAAGTTAAAAAATAATTTAAAAAGTTAGGGTTACGGGTAATTAGGGGTTTAGGGTTGGGGTTGAGCTTAGTGTTAGGTGCTGCGAATTTATTATTGTGATAAATTCAAAATGCGCCGCGAATTTATCACGAGTCATAATGATAAATTCGGACGTGTTTAAGAGGGCCTCTCAGTAAAATCCACCCACTGGTTTGGGGAAGGAAAAATAGATTTAGCTCATATTTTGCATATGAACTAGACTTTGGTCAATATTAATCGAGCTTCTTTCAGAACTTTTCAACTTTCTGTTTTATAGGAGTTATAGCCCATGTTGAAATTTGACCTTGCGAGAGTATTTTCAGACCGGAAATGAAGGGGAATTTTACAAGAATTCATGTGATTTTTTAGAAACGTTGTGATACGTTTATCCCCTCCAGTTACTGTTCTCATGCAAGATTAACAACTAATACTCTCGTTTTCATGGAGATTGAACAACTTTAATTGCCTAATACGATTTTTTTATAGTTTTACGAAACTATGTTTTCAAGATGGCGACGAGAGGCTGAAAATTGCTCATATTTACTTGAAATAGCTCAAAAGTGGCACGTATCTCAAATTCAAAAGGCATGTAATTTGAAATTATACCTACTAAAGTTAAGTAATTAGGAATAATACTCGTTTGCAAGCAATTTTCTGAAAAGTTATAAATATCCAAAAAGGGCCTATTTTTAGCTGTTTGTTTACATTCGCGTGTTCGCTAATCAGCGACACTTGTAATAATTAAAAAGTTAAATAAGCTGGTTTATTATCCAGGTTCTATTTCACAACATAGAAACATTCAAAATATAACCTTAACCATTCTTGGCTTATTCGCATGAATAATTTAACAACTGTTAAATATCTTTTTAAAATATAAACGGGCGGTACTTTCTGTGCAGCAAATTTCAAAGCTGTCCGTATCTCTGGATGTATATAAAAAGTGTTCGGTTAACTTTTCTATTCAACTCGTCTCGTAATCTTTTTCTGTCCCTGTAAATGGAAATTTTGCCGGAAAGGTCGGACATTAATTCTTGCTGCATGTATGCAACACATTTTTGGACATAATTGCAGTCAAAATACTACAACATTCCCACTTTCGCTTTTCTAGTCTGTTGTCATTTACTATTTTGTTTTGTATTTAATATTGTAGCGGTCGCCGAATTATGGAGAAATATGGCGATAGAATTTAGTTTTCTTTGATTTTTGTAGTAATTGGAATACTTGTAACAAGAGGTGCGTTTTTCGTTTGATTCACTGCATGTGGACGCGTGGTGGTTTCGAAATTTAACTTATGTCGTCGTATTTCCCTATAATTGGTTAACCGCTGCAGTAGCGGGAATTCAGTAGGGGACGACGGACCGCGGGGGCGGGGGTGGGAGGGTTCTAGTATTTTGACTTTGAAATCTACGTTCTCGCAGGCGGAACTGCAAGCTGGATGGCTGGCTTGCCGGTTATTTTTG